CATCTTGATCAATAACTAGATGCCATCTTGGATTTAGGTGAGCTTCAACGTTGTATATCATCCATCCTAGTGTCCACTTTGTAGCACATTAAAGATCTTTTCCCTAATGTAATTTTGAAGGGTCTATCTAGAACACTGACAGCGTAACAAAAGGTTTTGTTTGTCTTTGAAAATGGCAACCAATTTTTTTTAATTGGCTACCACTTTGAAGAATTTAGGAGCCAAGTGGCCATCAGAAAATAAATGTAACTTCACGCCCTGTAAGTGATGAGCGTAAAGAAAAATATCAATTTGGGGATAATTAGTTGATCCAATAATAAATTCTCTGAACTAACATTATATGAATTGTATGGTTGGCAGTAAGGAGAATTACAAATTTGATCCAGGAGTAAAAGGGTTAAGTAGAGTACAAAAAGGTGAGGATGTGTATAAGCATCCCATGATCTTAGACAGTTGGTTATTTTGTGCTGTAAAGAAACCTGTTTCACTGGTTGGCTGCATGTGCTACACTTTTCTATCTACTTTACTTTTCCAACCTTGTAAGAAATGCATATGAAATAAAGCAGTTGGATGATGAATAACTCTTTAGTTGTTTTGTGTATGGTATTGCTGAGTATTTTTACTTGTTGTTTGTATTTTGATTTGCCCAACTCTTCAAAATACTCAGCAATACTACTGTACACATCAAAACATCTAATAAGATATATTTAGCAAACAACATTAGCTCTTATGAACTATCATCATTTATGACACGAGGGCAATAGATGTAAACAGTCATATTTAAAGCCATAGTTGTAGTTTAGAAAAGTCTGTGATTATGGCTTTAAAGTGGTTAAGGGGCTTGACATCAGTACCCACTAAACTATAACACGGTGTATTATTTATAGCCATAATCATCATTTAGGACTTAATGTTTATCATATTATTTTTACTCATAGTATCATAACTAATACCATATTCTCTTCTTTTACTTCTTCTTCTTGTTATTACTATTATTATCATTATATTATATTTACCATATTACAGACATTCCCTCTCTACAAGGCTTATTATTATTAATAAGGTCTGATCTTTTTCATGTGGAAATGAGTCAATCATTTTTCCCATATATTGCCTTATTCAATTTTTTAAGTTCAAAATTTGTGAGGAAATTGTTGATTGTAATTTTTTAAAATTATATGTAATTATGCCAAAAGACCTTTTTTTGGCAAGAGTACATAGCATTTGGATTTTGATAAATTAATTTTGATATTATTTAAAAAATAATATGAATATGATTATCATCATCATCATTATTTTATTATTATTATTATTGCTATAATTATCATCATCATTGTTAATATTACAGAGTGAGTAGCATAAAAAGGCTGCAATACTTACTCCACATTTGGCACTATTTGTGCTGGTGCCATTTACAAATTTACCATACACTGAATCTTAAATGCTTCCTAAACTGTATGTCTTAACTATTAGTAGTGGTTCCAAAACTTTAGATAAAACACTAATGAAGGGAAGCAAGAAAGCAAAATCCCATTATTACTTTATACTGCAACCAGGAAGCAAGTGAAAGTTAAATGGATCTCTGTTTTTACCTTTCAGAAATGTATATCTTCATGTATGGATCGTTACATGGATGCTTGGAATATTGTGTCGAAAACCTACCAGGATAGATTAAGGAAGGAACATTCCCTTGCAGGAAATTTTAATTAAAAAAAAAACTTTCCTGGCCTTCTTTACTTGTGCTGATTTACCTTCAATTGTTAGTTTTCACCAAACTCATGAGATAAAATATTGCATCAACTAAGGCTTTATTCGTATTCAAATTTGATTAGTCATCATTTAACTTTTTTGTGAAGCATTGCTTACTCAGACTTTGGAAAAACTGAAGACAAATTTTAAGGGGGAGATAGTTAATTTTGGTGTTGCTAGTTTATACACAAATTTATAAATTGTTATACAAGCTAAAACCATGTTGGAATCAAACCAACAGTATTACAAGAGATGGTGAAAATCCCAAACTGTGTCCTCCCTCTCTCTCCCTAGGATGTATACTGCCACTTTAAAAATACATCAGACTTCATTCAGGCTTAATAGGCCATCGAGTATAGATAATGCTTATTTAAAATGCCGAAGGTGTTTACCTCGATGTATTTGAGCAAAAGTTTTCTCCATTCAGCCTTACATGAAGCTTGCAAAGACAACACCCATTTCTTATAGTGTTAGCCTCCTGTAAGATTTTTGGTCTTGTCTCAGAATCCTAGACCAAGTGAAGAGCTAACAGAATGTCTGTATGAAAAACTATGTCATTCTGCTAAGATGTCAGATTCTGTTCTGCAAACTTGACTGAAGTTCTTCAAGGATCATTACTAACATACACTGTGTCAATTTTTCAGTAACCATAACTCTCTTCAAGTTCTGTGTTCCTAAGATACTTGCATTAGCTAGCTGGGATGGCACAAATTTTGATGAGATTAAGATGTGTTAATAATGTTTATCTTGTAGTAATTTACAATGAAAACCAGTAACATTGAAATGTTCCTTCACCAAGCTTGAACCTTCAAGGGTTTTAAACTAAGGTTTTTTGCATAAGAGGAGCTAATTATTTAGGTAACTAACGAATTTCAAATGTATGGTAAAAGTGTCAATTAAAAAGGAGATCAACGATCATAAGTAATTTAACCTGAATTATCATCATCTGGGCAATAATTGATAGAAATCTTTTATTTTTTTGAAAATTTTCACTTCAAACTAGCAGCACAGTATCAGTGCACTGTACTGAACAAAAGCAGAGAGATGTGCACGCAAATGGTGAACTGACTTAGAGAAGAGTATTTTGAAATACACAACAAGATATTATGTAATGTGATGTAGCAAATGCAATCTTCAGTAATGGATATATGTGTATGTATCTCGTCTTACTCAGAACCAGCAAAGGGAGACATTTATACCTGATGTTAACTCTTTTTATTCGAGCCTTTCCTGAGGTCATGATTCCTGATGCTGGTGTATATATATCTTAAAGAATAATTTTAAATGATTTCTAAAAAATCTAAAAATTGTATGGAGTTTAACATCAAGAAATTTAAGCTAATGCGAATCTGTAAAAAAGGGTCTCCCTTTCTCTCTGACCAATCAACACGTAAGTATTCATCAAACAACCGAATAGTCGCGAGAGAGCCCGGGCCGAAGAAATCGAAGCTAAGTTTTTCTATTTCCCTAGCCTGCTTTGACCAATTTCCTTTCTTTTTTCGATTAATTTTTGGATTTCCTTTACTGTACTGTGAATTCGGAATGACCTTTCCCGCCAATTTGTGAGGAACTCTTTGTCACGAGACTTCCAAGGGAATTCGATTATGCGTTTCATCTTTCATACTGAGAAAACGTTTACCTCATTCTAACTTGCATTGGCTAGCTTGAAACGGATCATGAATAAGAAACGTCAAAGGAAGAAAAGAGGAAAAAATACATAAAACGGTTAAAGCAAAACAAAACCGTTTCTATTTCGAGGAAAAAGAGTCTTTGCCGGCGACTTCCGGAGCAGCAGAAACCACCACAGGATTCAGAATATAACTAACAATTAACAAAGTGGCCCGAAAAATAAAACTGCTTTTGAAAAAAAAGTAGGGAAAAGGAAAAAAGAGGTTGAAAATCATGATAACAAGGAGAAAAAGTAGAAAAAGACAGTAAAAACAAAAATGCAATTCGTGGGGAGGAGTTACTCGGCCCCCAAGCCAGTTTGAGAGTTACTCCTTGTCCGCCAGCTCCAAATCATACTCGGGGCCCCCAAGCCGGATTGAGAATAACTCCGATAGCGTGATTCGAACCCGCGACCTCGATGACCTCTCTTGCATTCGTTGCGCGCCTACGATTGCCGCTCGACCATCTCGAAACTACATGTTATATCAGCATAAATTGTCGGTGTAGTGAGTTTTAAAATACCAGGTTGGGGGGGAGGGTGAGAAACGTTGTCTTACTGAGAGTGCAATCGAGCGTTTTCGTTCAAGAATAAAAGAAATAAGTTTAACAAAGAACGGACGAAAGCGATCTACACGAGAAATATTAGCATATGTTGTAATGGCGGACTGATTCGTTTGCTGAAGCTCGTTAATGTGACTCCTCAGTATTGCATCTCACATCTTTTATCGCGCATAAAAATCTCGTAATCATATAGGCGAATAAGCGCGCTTTTTATATTTTAATCCATGGACCAGGTTAAAGGTACGATGGTCTTTAGCTCTTGATTGAGAACACTGTCCCATATTTTCTATTGCATAATTTTGGCGTACATATTATCTCTTTTAGATTGGAAATCTTATCTGGTCTTTTTGGCTCCTATGAATCCCTCAATAAAGAGGATTGCAGTCCTTTTATAATACCAAAAACTTGCATTACCATCAGAAAGCTTTTTCAGCTCATGCAAGGATGAAAAGGCGTTCGAGACTTAAACTGAATTAATTTGCAACTTACTGAACTGATGGCCAAAGAGTACCATGATTTATAAAAATAAACGGCTCGATTCGTATCAGAGAGTTATGCAGTACAGAAGCAAAGAGAGGAAGTGTTCGGTAGACTTCATATTTTTTTCGCGGATCATATTAAAAGGCGGTTTCTTATCAATATAACTGAAGACTCAGGTCCTCTACTTCCGACCCGTTAATTTATTTAATATTAAGACTTATCTTCGCCTGAACTACGATTATTTATCAGTCTCCGCTTTTATATCTAGGACCAAACATTTTGTCCAAAATGTCGGTAAAGAACTAGAATTTTTAACTGTTTGCAAAACAAAACAACCTCGTGCGATTTAATATGCCTTGGTTTGACTTTGCACTGCTTTATCACTTTATCATTCTAAACGACCACAAAACAAAGAAAAAGTTAAAAATTAAGAAAAAGAACCTTTGCAGAATAACATGAAAAGTTATTTTTTTTACCGTAAAAAATACTCCAATAAATATTGAGAGAAAATAGCGGTATTGTTGTGTGATCTTTGCTAGACGATGTGGATAGTTATTGTAGACAGTATAGGTAGTTGTACTTACTGTAGACAGTGTAGATAGTTGTACCTATTTTAGACAGTGTAGATAGTCGTACTTACTGTAGACAGTGTAGATAGTTGTACCTATTTTAGACAGTGTAGATACTTACTGTAGACAGTGTAGATGGTTGTACCTATTTTAGACAGTGTAGATAGTCGTACCTACTGTAGACAGTGTAGATAGTTGTACCTGCTTCAGACAGTGTAGATAGTTGTACCTACTGTAGACAGTGTAGACAGCTGTACTTACTGTAGACAGTGTGGATAGTTGTACCTACTGTAGACAGTGTAGATA